AAGGTAACGTATCTGGGCTGTTACATTTTTGCCTGGCACCAATCCAGTCTGTTTGGTATATTTAACATTTAGCTGTGTGTTTAATAATATATACACCATTGTGCACTAGCTGTTTGGCCCTAAACCTTCAGGCTCATGGCACTCTTTTTACACCGACCCCAAATCGTGGTAAGGTACAGGCAGTAGTGGTAGTGACAACGGATTATGTAATTGAATTCCTGTGATTTTGTAAACACATTCTTTATTACTTGTGTTATGAAAAATCAGATGGCAATAAACGTCCATTGTCTATATATTTAAAAAGCGTATATATCTGACAGTTTTCAGAGATTGGTTGGTGTAATTAAAAACGGTAGGGCCTCAGGGTCTTATATATAACTTAGGGCTTTATCAAGTGTAAATCCGGCCATGCTTCAATGACCCTAGATGAAGCAAATGATAGTAACACTGCTACCGGTCATGCATTTGGTCATAGACAACAATGGAGTTTTTATGTGAGATTGACTGTCCCATGCCGCATAAAACTTTAACCGCAACATCAAGCCATTCGTTAGAAAATGATCAAATATGTTGGCGAATTGACGGCTGTGTTGGAGGGGAGAGAAAAGGTAAGAGGAGAAGTGGAGGACAGGAAATATAAGGAATGTGGGTGGGGGGGGGGAAGAGGGGGGAAAAGACGGACTATGAAAAAGAAGCAGTAGAAGAAGAAGTTGCTGCTCATGATGATAATGATGACGGCGATGCAGAGGAAGTGAGGGAGAAATGGAAGAGAAGACGGAGACAGTAGAAAAGAAAAAGAGAGTATAGAAACAAGAAGAAAAAAAGCAGATAATAATAAAAATAATAATAATAAGCAGAAGAAGAAGAAGAAGAAGAAGAAGAAGAAGAAGAAGAAGAAGAAACATAAGAGGTTGTGGAGGAGAAGGAGAAGAAGGGGACGTGGAGCGGAAAAAGGAGGATGTAGAGACAGGAAAAAGAGAGAGAGGGAGAATCAGAATAAGTAGTAGTGGTGGTGGTGGTGGAGGAGGAGGAGGAAGAGGAAGAAGAAGAAGAAGAAGACTATAATTTATTACATTAACTACAGAATGCTACCTTTATTGTACTATGGCAGAATGAAGATATTAGGTGTGATTTTACACATGCAAGCTTGGATATTATCTGGAGAGTTGAAATTAATATTCCAAACGTCTTAAAGAGGCTAAAGCATAAGTGATCAATCAGTTTGCTAACCACCCGTCTAAGGACCAACACACACACAAAAGGGAAGAAATATCGTGATCGTGTCCTTGTGAGTCCTTTACTGAAAGTCTGTTCAATGTATTTCTACAGCCTTATTTCAACGAACATCCTGTCATATACTACACCAGGAAGAAACCACTTAACCGCTTAATCGACTTGTCAATTAACCGAACTGTTGCCGTTAAATAGCAATGAACATGTAGAAGGTACACAGCCAGCGGGGTTTCATTGGGCACGACGAAAGCCGAAAGAGTGAGAGAGTGTCCGCAAGAGGCGTTTACATACCACAGAACTACAGGGAAATAGCTGTGTAGACGGTTCATGATGGCACTGGAGGGACTTTTGCCACACGATCATCGGCTGATGACGTCTGGGGTAAGAAATAATGTCTCCTCATATTTAGTTATTTTAACTGTCATGAAAATAGGTATGTGCGGTGAACTTGCCAGACCAAAACAAACTACAATAGGTCTTGTGAATGTCCGGAATTCCGGTACCTTGCTGCTGTTTTGATCCTGTGTTTTCCCGAACCAAATGACGGAATATCGCTTATAGAGGGTCTGCTATAACAATATATTATTTTACATCAATGTAGGTGGGGGTTTAACTACCAGTTTTGAAACTTAACAAGCCTGAAAAATGGTCGGATAACAGGTCTAGTGTGTAATCCGATCACTTCACTTCGTTCTGAAATTTGTTTTGCACTGAGTATTGAGTGAGTGTTTATTTACACAATAGTTCAATTAGTTCCCACACTCTTAACCAATTTAGTCAACCCCAACAAATAACACATGGCAGTCGTATATTTCTAAATATTTTAGATTGTTTAGGTAGGACTGTGTTTTCAATGAAGTGCAAACTAGTCACCTTTACAATATTATATAACAGAATTTCAGCACCGTTGTCGTTTGTGTGCTTTGACCTATTTGACTTTTATATGACGAATACAAGTTTTAATATTGATTGTTTAGAATAATTATGTACCACTAACTACGTAAATAATGTAGTACATTTTTCTGACATGTTAACAATCATCTGTGTAAATTAATAGTTGTAACACTCAAGGAACAGCAGAACACTTATTCCTATTAAGTGATATGTGTATGATTATATAAGTGGAGTGTATTATTTTCCTCTTCTGTGTGGGTTTATTCAGCGTGTAGGAGAATCATGGACATTTTTCAAAGCAAAAATATACTTTATTTTAATGAATAAAGGCAGAAGACGACAAGGAGAGACAAAAACAAACATAAAATCAACAAGAAGAGACATATAACTATAACAGAGCGGATGCCCGTTTTGACATTAACGCCTCTCTTTGGTGCCTGCGCATGCGCACCAGCCCACGTGACGTAACTTCCAATTTCGTCGACTCACGCTGTGTACATAAAGAAGCCAATTTCTCCACCGAAAAATAAATAAAAACACCCCAGTAACTTATTATAACTCGTTTTCGGCAGCTTTTCGACAAACCCAGTGGTTATTCGGAATCACAACGTGCCAGTAACTTGAAAAAAAGTGTCGTATTTGGGTAATATTGTGTAATTTAGAGTCTGTCGTCCACGCCAACGGTCTTTCTTTATCCTGATATCTCCACTGTGTCGGTCATTCTACACGTCTTGATAACATGAGGTGACCGTATTATTTAGTTAGGTAAAGTTACGGGGAGTGTTTCAGCATGTGTCTTATTTTGGACTTAAAGACAGAAAAAATAGTATCTTTACAAAGTCTTGGGTTACATTAGAAAGTATGACGTAGTTTTCTGTTGTAATTTCTGACTGTTTGGGCAGAAACTTCTAGACTAGTTATCATCATCCAGTGCTAATTTACTGACTGACGTGTTTCTCTACATAATGAAAATATCTCGTTCTCATCTTTAGCTTGTTTGTCTACAAGCTGTCACATGTTCCAGTTTGTCCTTTCATCGTACTTCAATGACAGTAGTCAAAGTGGCCAAAACTGCCAATTTGTAGTGTTTGTTTTCTTTGTGTCTTTGGCCTAATTTAAAATCATACAGACGTTAAGGTTACAACAGTGTGGGTCTGGAATCAGCTACTAATTTTGGGCTTTTAGTAAATCTTAGTTTTCATAATTATTTGTATAATGGGACCAGTCTCAGTCTCCTAGGATTCAAGACATTCTTTGCCTTGTTTAATTTACTTTGACTTCAGTTTTTTGACCACTTATTATGCTGAAACAGACTTCTAGAAGTTGTAATTTTTACACTCATTCTTCATTGAGACTTGTTTACTGATAGTGATAGTTCTTAGGGTGTTCTGAGGTCAGGCTGAGAATCTTATTTCCTGGTAGATTTATAACATTTACTAGTGGGTCTAACTAACCAATAGCAATACTAATAGTATATAGGCTGTGTATAGTGTATACTTGGTAGGCCTCAGTGGTAACTGGTACTGAATTGAAATATGAATGTTAAAATAATCATTATTTTAACATTTATATATTATTATAATGGCTTAGTTACAAAAATTAACTTGTAACAGTCATTCTTATCTACTTATGTGAGACTATATAATAGGTATAGTATAATAACTGCCAACTAACTATTCTTAACTACCAGCTGTTCAGTTTTAGGATTCAGACATTGTAACATTAACAATAACACAAATGTACAAAGTATTGATCCATTTCCATGCTCTTAAGCATATTGGATATATAGTGCAAGAACTATATTTTTAGACTGTTCAGCACTCGGTGGGTGATGTGGTCTGTGCTTATACTAAACCACGCCAACCTCCTTTACTTCCCAGGATTTTACCTGGTACCCATTTTATTTAGACTGCGTCGACTTGAGCAAAGGTCATTTATTTTATTTATGAAAACGGACTTGATGCGTATTTCAAGTATTTGAACCAAGTTTTTTTTGGGATCACAGTGTAAGCGTCTAGTTGTTACACCAAGGCAGCTTCGATTAACACAACTGTACCAGTAGTTTTAATAACAGTTATGTAGCTTCCGTGACTGTAATTGATGACTTGTTGTGATGCAGGTTTTTGGACTGACATCACATTTAGTGGCAGTATTTGTGACTGAGATCACATTTAGTGGCAGTGTTTGTGACTGAGATCACATTTAGTGGCAGTTTTTGTGACTGAGATCACATTTAGTGGCAGTATTTGTGACTGACATCACATTTAGTGGCAGTATTTGTGACTGAGATCACATTTAGTGGCAGTATTTGTGACTGACATCACATTTAGTGGCAGTATTTGTGACTGATATCACATTTAGTGGCAGTATTTGTGACTGATATCACATTTAGTGGCAGTATTTGTGACTGACATCACATTTAGTGGCAGTATTAGTGACTGACAGTATTTTGTGGAAAGTTTTTCTGTTATTTTTAGTAATTCATCTGTGTTCATGATAGATTTGGAAACTGATAGCTGTTTTAATTTTGGTGAGAGCTGTAACCACACACTGTCGTTTGTTGTAGTGACCAATTTTATGTTACAATGTTTAGTGGTAGTTACATGGGCTTCCAGTTATTTACTATTTTGGGGAATACCTTTAATTCAACTGTGGTGTCATAATTTCTTTCAGTAAATACTATTTTTCTGACAGCTGTTTTAAATGTGCGAGCTGGTAAACTGTTTAAGTAACATTGAAAACTATTTCACCCGTGTCATCCATTTAAATTAAAACTTAACTTTCCGAGGAACAGACTCACATTGGTCTTATTTGTAGATTTACATTTCCGGGATAGAGATTTACGTCTTGACCGGCAGAGGGAAGCTGCAGCCATGATTAAAGAATACTTCACCGATGGCCTTATAGGAATAGCCATAATTCTTAGCTTGTTTCGAACAGACTTGGTTGGCATCAACAACCTCATCAACTACCCAGAGGTTCAGGATATTATTCTAGGACAGACAGCAGCCTACTTGCCTGCAAATTATCATCATATTCACAGCTCCTTGGGGACTCACATCAACCCCAAACATTTGGATTTTGATAATACTGCGTTTAATGCCTGGTTTCAGAACATCAATAATCTGCCATTGTTTCGAGAGAGTAGAGCCAATGATATAGAAGCGTTCTTAGTTAGCGGATCTCAGGAAAATGTTGATGGTGAGCAGTATGCCAGTGACCAGTCAAGAAGTGCTTTTTCTGAGAGTAATTCTGTTTCCAGGACTTCGTCGTCTTTCCCATTAGAAAGTGCTAGCTCTTTCATTGAGGAATTAGTCTCAGTTGTGCCAGGAAGTTCACAAGTCACTTCCGTTAATGAGACAAGTACAGTAGATGAATCAAATGAAGGTGTTAATCAGAAAGACAGTGTAGATTCCTGGTTGTTAAATGGCACATTTACCGGAAGTAATTTAACAAAAGAGGTAATTAGCAGAATATTAACTGCTTGTCGAATTACACTGACCTTGTTTTTGTGTGTGTGTGTGCTGCTGTAAGTAAAAAAAAGTAAGGACCCTTTTCCACGCCTTTAGGTGTATAGAGCTGAACCTATATTTTTATAGACCAATCGGCACAAGAAAGGTAATGTGGTCAGCATCACGCTAGCTGCCTTTACTTCCCGGGACTGCACCCGGTACCCACCTAACGCTGGGTCGACCTGGGAGCCAAGTCATTTTTGAAAATAGTCCGGCTCCACCAGGGAGCAAACCCACGACCTTCTGATCCACGGCGAGCATCTAGCCACAGGGCTACAGTGACTCCCTGTGTGCTGCTGTGGTAATGTATAAATATCCTTACTTATAAAGAACACAGTGGCTCAGTCTTTCTGTGCTGCCACAAGGTTATCATTGTAGTTAGCATTCAGTGGCGGTAAACTGGCAGAAAGTCCTGGTTAATCATCAGCTAAATGTAGAGAGATAACAAGAATACATCTGGAAATGGTAGAACACATTAGGGCAGTAGCAGCGGTGACCTCAACAGTCTTGTCTCAGCAAGAAAGGTGGAAAAAACTTTAAAAGATAGGGGGGGGGGGACTTATAGATGTCGCACAAGTCGAATTAGAACAGTATCTTTGTATAAATGGACTGGCAAGAATACCTTATGCGGGACAGATCTGTCAAAAGTACCTTATATTGATCTCATCACCCATCGTCTGGATTGGTCTATAAAAATATGGATTCTAGCATCATATGCTGAATGGCCCACTAGCATGTGTAGTACAATTACTATACCCTAGTATAGATTAGTGACAAGGATATTGTGAATAGTTTAGAGCAACAAAGAGTTCTGCAAATTGAGACATGATCACAGTTATCTCTACACCCTAGTGTATGACAAGCAAGCAGTAAGTAGTCTGGCAAATTAGATATTATGTATGTTTATGTTGAAGCCGTGAAGCTTTATTTCTTCTGCACTCTAGGTTAGGAGGAGCCACATCCTCTGGAAAGTATAGCATAGCTACTATGTGCGTTTGTGTCTGCACAGTTTGGGCACACAGTATGTAATTTAGTGCCTAGCTTTTCACACCATGATCTCAAATGAAAGCATATTTTTACAAATTTTGTGCCTTCTCTACGGGGAAGGTTGTCTGCAGTGTACTCGCTGCTGACTTTGGGGATTTTACGGGGCGAGGCCCCAGTCTCTTCCACTGTGCAGCTTTCGTACTACTGTCAAAACCATGAAAACATTTAAAAAAAAAACCACCATTCACTGTGGAAATCAAACTCTTGTTCTTAAGGATCATGAAGTTGTTGAATGCATTCAGTAACCCCTAAGCCATAGGGTTGCATTATGTTTAGCAGTCCAGGTTGTTTGTCACACACGGTGTATAAGTGAACAAATAACACCTGCTGTTCTTAAGAACTTACAAAAGAATGCAGTTTAGAATATACAATTACTTTTTTAATCTTTTCAATAACAGATTTGTTTATGTTCGGCCAAAATTTCTATTCATAAAGCTTCTTGTCGTCCTATTTTTTGCTTGATTCATTGTCTGCCACATATTTCGGCTCGCTGTACAGTCAGTAGCTTATATTTTTTAGTTGCCCATCTGCTGGCCACTTTTACCAGGCACTTGTGATTGTGTGCATGATGTAGTAGTTATAGGATACATATCCCCTGTAATTCTCTGTTTAAATTTGTCATGTGTGGTGGTAAAATTGAAGAGGTGCTGGCCCAGTGGTTAGAGTGTTGACTTTGCTGAGGAGACCTGGGTTTGATCCTTGGTAATGGATGATTTTTTTCTTTCAGGGGCAGAAATAAAAATCCAAGCCTGCACAGTTTGTGGTGACTGCACTAGCTGTGTGTCCTTAAATCCTTAGGCTCATAACCCTATGTCATAATCACCCTTAAATTGGTAAATGAAGCGACACTTCATCCCTGGTCATAACTCGTCTTGGAAGCAAATGGAGAGGGCAGCAGTTATACTTTATAATGCCTTGTCATTTGATCACCATGCTACATTCTATAACACTTTGTCAGTTGCCATTCCTCCCACTAGCACAGTATAACACTATCATCAATAAAGATGGAAAGGTGCCAATGTGGACCTTATTTAACCAGCCTTTTTTCTTTAAAAAAAAAGGCATCAATCTGTTTTGGTTGGAATGTTAGTCCTGAGAGACCTAGGATTTTCAAAAGCCCACTACTACCTTGTAGTTCAATACTGTGTCACTTCTTACATGTTATGGTGAAAATATGTTGTCAGATGTTTTATATTAATCATTTTTTAGGATCTGAAGCTGATTGACATACTATATCAGCAAGATGTCGACCTGGGTGTGGGGAAAGAGGTCTTCGATCCCCAGTACAGGGAGGAGCTGGAGAGGGAACGTGAGTTGGAGTTCATCAAGAATCAAGAGTGGGTAAGTCTTTATAAAGAATCATTAGTGTCAGCCTGCGGAATACTTGTCACCAGTTACTGTGAGCAGTTTTCTAGCAGTTCATTGGTTTGTCTGCTCATGGGTCATTTATTGTCCCGCAAACTGGGGGAGTTTTTGTAAAGTATTGTTTCAGAACTGTTCTGTGCAGGAGTCCACACAGTTGTCTGCTGTGACTTGACTTTCTGCATGCCTGTGGCTGTGTGTATTTATATTGGATTTACATTGTGAATTTACAGTAAAACCTCATTAGCACGAATTCTGAGGGACAGGAAATCCAGTTAATGTTAAAAATTGTCTTAACCTGGGACTGATAATAGTAAAACATCCCTAGTGGTACCAACATTTGATCATGCCTCCCTAGTGTTCTTAAAGGAAGTTAACATCTTATTGATAGGTAGTTAAATGAATAGGTCTTTGAAGTGTAGTTTATCAGTTTATTTGCCTGTAGGGCTGTTTTACTGCAGGCAGGTTCTAGTCCAGTAATACCATATCAGTTTGTTTAATACTGTATTGATTCTTAGTATGGTAATTATGCATTTATTCTTAGCACCTGGCCTCTCCTTGGTCAAGTGTTCAAGCTGTTTGCCTCGCACATTGAAGACCGGGGGTTCATTTCATGGACATGTTTGGTTATTGAAGCAGTTTTTAACAGATTTCTGGGGATAGTTACTGCGGCTGTGGAGTTTTTATTCTGTGGAGACAGATCAGATCATATGGGATAACCTGGTGCAGTATCAGATCATCTCGACTTTTTAACTTTTAGTACTATATTGGTTCTTAGTACTGTAATCTTAATCTTGCAATACTGTATTGGTTCTTAGTACTGTAATATTGTATTGGTTCATAATCCTGCAATACTGTAGTGGTTCTTAGTACTGTAGGACTGTATTGGTTCGTAGTACTGTAATCCTGTGTTTGTTCTTGATCCTGCAATACTGTAGTAATTCTCTTTACACAGACTCATGGAAAACAATCAGATCGTTCTCCAGTGGATGCCGGCTCACTTTGGCATACCAGGAAATGAGTTAGCAGACAGACTTACTAGAAATGGAACAAAGGAGAAACAGCACACCCATTTATTGTCGTTACCAGAAATCAGAACACTTATCAAAGGAAAATACAAGGAATTGTGGAGAGAACAAACTAAACATCCACAAGACCCTATTAGCAGACTCAACAGAACGTAACTTACAACAATTTTCCGTCTACGAATAGGACACTGCAGGCTCAACTACCACATGCATAAAATAAATATTGTACTGTCAAACAGGACCACAAACACCTGAGCGCATTCTGCAGACCTGCCCACTCTACATACAAATTCAAAAAAACACCTGGCCTCAAGAGCAAAGTGTGCAGAGCAAGCTAAGGGCAACCATGAAGGACCTGCTACTGACATGCGAGTTCATAGAGGCAACCCACCTGATGGTTTCATCTGAGCATACAAAACCGAACGCAAAGAAGAAGAAAGAAGAAGTTTCTTAGTATTGTAATACTGTATTAGTTTTCTTGTACTGCAGTACTGTACTGGTTCTTAGTACTGCAATAATTGCATTGATTTTTAGTACTGTAATACTGTTTGGTTTTTAATTAAATTGGCTGAAACCTATTATCACCTTTGCCATGCAGTCTAAAGTAAGTTCTGGTTTCCATTCCTTTGTCTTCAATATCTCAGTGTTTCTAACATTTAAATATGGTGTATTTCCCCAGCAAAAAACTCAGCTCCTGGCTAGAGAGAAGGAAGAACAGAAACAGAGAGAACAGAAAGATAAATGGCTGCTGAAGAATTTCAGGCGGGATGGAGAGACAGGTCAGTGTGGGCATTGTTCTTTTAAAAACTTGATATGTCCCATTCTTTTGGTTTTCTTGTTGGTTACTCCACTTGTTGGTTACTCCATACATGGTAAACTTGCAACTGCTAGCATGTTGACTCTTTGTTGGCTACTATTAACGGGGAAAGAGTGGGAATATCTTGAGTCCTGCGATGTCATATCATCATTCAGCACAATTCATTCTGCTCATACATTTTTTGTCTTAAAAAAAAAATTAAGTTTGTCATTCATTTGTGTGTGTATGCATGTTTTATTGTGTGGGGTAGAGAAAAATAAATATAAAAAGGTTGGGGGGGGGGGGGGGGGGTTGGCATCTGAAAATTATAAATAATCTTTAATGAATTAATGTAGTTTGAGAAATCACCTACTGTTATGAACTTGCATACTTAACTTCCAGCGCACTTGTCTTTTTCCTAAGGTGAATGGGTGCATGTTTGGAATGGAGCCGGGGAGAGCAGTAGCAGACCTCTTTCACTGCCTGATGTTGATAACAGCAGGACAGATGTAGGTTCTCGTAATTAAAACCTTATTGCATTCAGTAGTCTGTTGTATTCATATCGAATTTGATTAAACATATAAGGAATTTATTCACTGAAGTATGACTAAGAAACTTAATGAAAGAGGGAAGGGAAACAACGTACATGTACAGAACAAAAACAGCAGTTTCAGTCAGAGCCTTTCTCAGCATAAACCACAACAGCAAAGGGCAGATTATCTCAGCCACTAGTCTTCTTAGATGGGCATCATGTGAATATATCTTGACTGCAGTCACCCTTGTTTTGATCATGAAAGGAAGGTTTGATTGTGCATAAATTACACAAAAGGGTTACAGAAGTGAGTGCTTTGGACAAGAAATGAAGGGAATTTGCAAAAGATGATAAAGCCTGGCGTAAGATCTTGTGCTGCACTGGAGAGAAATAATGGACATAATGATTCTTTGATTTGCCAGATTTCCACCTAGAGCAATTGAACTTTGTTGGTCTGGAAAGAATGGTTATGGAGGGGGGCAGTTTCTGGAAAAAAAGGGTGACCTTAGCGAATGTGGATACAGGAAATTGAAGAGGCATTGGGGTGCTATATTAATATCCTACCCTAAACGGAAATCCACAGGTCACGGGACAGTCTAATATTTCAGGGGTTGGTAGGCTACATGCATTTGTGGGACCTAGGCTGCATGAATTAGTGGGATCTTGGCTGCACTCTTTCGTGGGACCTTTGTGGGTTGGGGTTACGGTCAGTTCTAGATGTTTTGGGGTCGTTGAAAGCATCAGAAAGCCTGGAAACCCAGTCTTACCACCCTCTAAAATGTTGGACTGTCCTGTATCATCATTAGGGTTAGGATATTAATAAAGAACCAGCATTGGTTATGAAAGCACACAGGGCTGGAGAATTGGCTAGAGAAAGAAAGACTTTTGGGCGTGCCGTGAAGAGAGCGATGTGCTATAAAGGATATGCTGATTGATTCAAAGAATTGTTTGGGCTCATGTAAAATGTCTGCATCGCATGCAGCTCTCCACATATCCTCCCCGTCTTGCTAACTTCATTCTCCAGCTCCCTTCACCATGTGTTTTTTTGGTCTTCCTTTATTCCTATGTCCTTGTGGGTTCCAATGCAGAGACATTCTAGTTATATTGTTCTCCGGTTTTCTCAGTGTGTATCCTATCCAACGTCAGCGTCTTTTCTTCACCTCTTGGTCCACTGGAGCTTGCTTAGTTCTCTCCCATAGCTCTACATTAGTGATTTTATCATACCATTTAATTCCCTCTATTCTATGCAGGCACCAGTTAATGAATGTTTGTAGTTTATTAGTAATTGCCTTAGTTGTTCTCCTTGTTTCCGCCCCATACAAAAGTACTGATTTGACATTAGAATTACAAATTTTAAGTTTAGTATTTCTTTTTTTTTTTTGACCTCCACAAATTCCTTAGTGCCATGAAAGCTCCTCTTGTCTTTTGTATTCTTTTTTTAAATATCTCTATCAGTTCCCCTATCTTTATCTACATTACTGCCCAAATAGGTGTATGACTCCATGTCTTGGAGTGGGGTGCCATTAAGAGAAACCACATTACCATTTGCCTGATTTAGTCTCATTATCTTTTGTCTATCCTTTATGGATTTTCAGACCTAATTTACATTAGCTCAACTTTTTTTTTTTTAGTTTAAATATAAAAAAAAAACATAATTATTTTGGATCTTTATGCAGGAGGAATTTATCTCACTTGAAGCTGCACTGGAATTTTTAGAAAACTTAGGTGGTAGGGAGGAAAGCATCAACACACCATCAATCACAAACGAAGTGCAACAGGTAAGAAACATAGTTTGTCATTATATCTGAAAATGTGTTTTAAAAAAACACCTTCAAAAATGATTATATTTACTACCACTCTGTATCTGCTGCTCTTCAGAGCAAAAATTAGCCATCTGGTATAAAACCCAGTGCAGGGCTGTATAGCATAATGAGCTTCAGAGGGAGTTGTCTTTGGTTTTATTCAATATTTTGACCAGGATGTGGCAGAACTAACCGTATAATTTTGTGTGTGCTGCCAGTGATTTTACATTGAGTAGTTTGCCATTGCTTTGGTTGCTGCCAAATCACCTGCAGCTAAAATTGAACGCTCCCAACACCTCAGCCATGGATGCTGGGGGTACAGTGGTAAGGCTATGCAAATACAACATTGGTTAGCTTAACGGAACTTGAGAGACAAGTCACTGATGGTTATATTGTTAGGCAGTTAAAGCAGACGGTCTGTTTAATAGGCTGTCATCTCAGGAGCAGAATTTCTTTAACGGAAACATCTATTTTATGATTATCACAGTTTTCCATTTTGGTTCTGGGGGTCCCATTGTGAGGAAAACGAGAATAGACTTACTGCCACCCTAAAAAGCATGTACTAAGAGTAAACTAATTAGTGTTTCCTTTGAAGTCAAGAGTTCATTTGCCTGAGAGGCAAAGAGCAACGGTCTTCATATAAATAAGCCTGATTTGTAAAGCAGATGTGTGCGCATAAAACCCTAGTTCTGGAACAAGACAAGCCCAGATGTGGCCAAACCACCAGAACTTTCTGCCATAGTTTACAGCCGGTTTGTTCACTTGCAGACTATTAGTTGCTAGACTCGGTCAGATGCAGTCTGACTAAAATTAAAAAAAACATGCTCTTGTCTATGTTGGCCAGGTTGCTGGTTGGAAACCCGGCTTGGTGCACCATATTTGGTTCATCACCTCCCCATTCCTTTTGGTATGCCACAGCCAATCTTTTTTTGGTTAGGTTATCAAGAATGGAATTTCTGTAATGACTAAAATTGCTTACCTCTCCTGTGATTCTTGCAGGAACAGCAGCAGCAACAGCCACAATTGATGCACCAGGACAGCTTTAATGAAAACTGGAACGGTCTGGTCGACTACCTGAATCTTACCAATGAAAAGTTCAATGAAAGCTTGAACATCAACAACAGCGTCATCCCTCCACTTGCTGATGACATAAACATCCCCTTCAGCTTGGACCCAGACCTGCAGACAGAGTACCTGATCCAGAATGTCACACTGCCTTTGCTGGATGTTTCAGCTGATTTAAGTAAGTTTTGCATCCCCAGATGCATTCGTTATATCATCTTCTTCTACATGTACCTTTTAACTGGGAGGTTTTCACTTTGTGTTGTAGTTTAGCTAGGCTGCAATATCTGCATTTTTCGGCCCTACACATCTCTTTTCTGGAAGCTCCTACTAATGTGTGGCCTTTTATTATGATATACTTGTTAGGGAACAAGACTAAAGTTCAGAAGTGGATGAACAACCATAATTTTATGCCATAGTTTACAGCAGGTGAGCTGGAGAAGAAGAACCCATCCCATTTAATGTTTATCAGTTGCCTCAAGCATTTGGTTTTGAATGCATTTAACTTTTGTTCCATGTCTTTTTCAGTTATATAATCCGACTTATACATGCTTGGTCATATCTCCATCATGTTAGGTACACTGACACAGCCTGAGGAACTGAACTCGTCCATGCCATTCCAGTCTGTGGACATGAATACCACCATTGATTTCGATATTGGGGACCTAAACTTCTTCAGTAACTTTACCAGCTTGCAGAATACATCCACTGAGAGCATAGGCCTGGCAGAGGGAGATGAGTTCTTGCAGAATATACAAGACACCGGCAGTGACATTCTGATGAATAAAACTTTGGCTGAGAGTGAGTATTTTTGTTATTAGTTTTCTGTATAGGTCTAGGTGTCTCTTTAACTTGTTAGTTTGAAGTCATGTTATTTCTATACATTTTGTTAGTTTCAAGGCTTGTTATTTCTCTCCATCATGTTAGTTGTATTTATCTTCTTCGTCTTAATTTCATGTTTTTATCCCTTGCTTGAATTAGATCGACCTTTTCTGCACCACTTGGTGGTAAATTTATGCATGACAAACTAGATGTTGTGCAGTGGCTTGGGAGTGAGTAAATAGTGTGGAGGCACAAATAGATCATCGCAGTCTGAAGAGAGTGGTACACCGAGGAGTGACCCGTGTGTCCGGCTGACTCGGCACTTGGACGTGGGGCAAGACGGACATACAGTCAGCTGACTCAGCACTTAGACATGGGGCGAGACGGACATACAGTCAGCTGACTCAGCACTCCGATGTGGGGCGAGACGGACATACAGTCAGACTGCTACTGGCTTTATCAGAATTAGAACCCTGCGCTTGCTGTTAAAGATGGGATAAGAGCACTTGTGGGTATGTCCTGAGCGTTGTGATGTCGGTTCTCAACTTATAACTCATACTCAACATTTTCGCGTTGATTATGGGGAAAACAAGAATAGACCCAATGCCTCCTCAACAGGCATGTAATAAGAGTTGAACTGGGCCTTCTTTCAAAGTCGGACTTTCTCTGCCTGAGAGACAAGGAACTAACAATCTGCATACAAATAAAACAGATCTGCACGCAACACTCAGGTTCTGGAACAAGACTAAAAAGTGGATGAATAATCTGAACATTCTGCTGGAGTTTACAGCTCGTGAGCACGAAGAAGAAACAGAAGATACTTCACTAGAAGCACATACTGTTTAATCAGCAGCACATCCTTTCTTGTTTGTAGACATGGATGCCATTCAGCTGTTGGAGGATAACCTCAACTTTACTGACATGGGATCCATACATATGCTGGAGGACAACTTGACTTTTGCTGCAGACTCCCGGAGTTCTTCGCCGCTCACTGTGAGTACATTTGTGTTTTTGCCTTCTTTTTTTTTTTTTCTTGTTGTCTTTGCATACATGTCTTGACAAATTTTTTAACATCACTACTTTTTTGTTGTTAACTCAGTTTATGTGATTTGTTAGTGTGTAAACATTTGTGTCTGTCAGTCATAATTTGATGTAATTGCCTTTTCATAATTGTGTGTGTAAGTGATCATTAGTATTGTGGTTGAATGAATGTTTTTTTTTAGGTAATGTTCATGTTTTAAATGAGTGAATGTTTGTAGTCATTCATATTTTGTGTGAATGTGTAAAATTATTCATGTGATGTCAAGAGGGAATGTCTGAAGTTATTCATATTTTACAGGAATTTTTGTAATCATTCATATTTTTTGTGAGTAAATCTATAGCTACCAGTGGTATTTTTGTGAATGGCCATAATTTTATGTGGTTTGTAGTTATGCTTGAATATCTGTTAGAGGTAATCTGGTGTGGTTCATTCACAGTCTTTGTAAATGTTAGTTCAGTGTCACTCATTTTTTGTTGGAACACCTATAGTTGTTGCTCATAGTTTATGTGAATATTTATAGTAATTTAGTTTATCTGAATATTTATAGCAGTGGCACAGTTGTTGTGGATTTCTTACTTGTGCTTATAGGTGTACAAATATTTGTGATTGTTACTTTTATTGTTGGGAATTTTTGTAGCTCTCACTTGTTGTTAAGCAAGGTGTAGTTTTTCTCATAATTTGTATGCTCGTTTGTAGCTATCCCTAGCAGTTACCTCTTTTTAAGTCCCAAACAGCAAACAACACATGATGTTGTAATTACTCTCTCTGCTAATTCCCTGCATGGCTTAATATGTTCTCCTACTTTCTGTATTTGGTCAAAACACTCAAGAAATCTGGCTTGTCTAATAGTCACTACCGCTGATGTATTATCTTTGTGAAAGTAATGCACTGATAAATTTATCACTGATATTTCTTTATTTGAATCTCTTAAAAAACCTTTATCTGGTACTGAAAAAGTTAAGGTGAATCTTTGCAGATTCGCTTGAATGGTTGATTTAATAAGTAATGGACTTGGCAATAGAATGGGAGGGGTATATCATTTGAATTCAGTGGGTCACATTTCTTTTAATGGGTGTTGCAATTTTAAGTACAGAAATACAAGTAAAGAGGTTTTTAAAAAGCTGTTAGCCGACATTTGTGTCAAGCTTGCGTGGAACTGGCTATTCAGTGGGATTATTTTATGTGGTATCAGGAAGTGGGCCAGTGAGCATTTGTGCAAATAGATTATATACCAGGGCCTACTTTGAGATAAAAGTAATGGGGGGAAAAAAACTAGGTTACTGGTCTGTCCATACATGCTTGTGTAGTCCGATGATGTTTGAAAGATACTGACATGTGGTCGTTATCAGGGTTGGTGTGTCTCAGAATAGAGGTAAACCCAGCAGTGTGGTCAGTGACACCAGTGTAGACTCTAATAGTTATTTTGTCATAGAAGAATTTTCGCAATATTTTTCAGTTGTTGTTGCAGAATGGTTAATGCATTTGCTAAATCAATATGGGGGGGGGGGGGTGTGTCCATGATTAAGTAGACAAGCCGTACATATGAGGTCTGTCAGTCATGGGTTCGTTCGACTGAAGTATCATTCACTTGGGTGTAATATTTACAGAGGTCCATGAGTCTCATACTGAAGCTACTGAGTTCATGCTTTGTGTGTGTGTGTGTCACTCTCGACAAGCAGCGAGCCATTCTGTGGAGAGATGAACTAAATAGAATTACCTGATGAAGTCAGTTGTTTTGACTTTATGCTGAGCCAGCAGTGTTTGAAGGTTCAGTTTACAGGGGCTGTTTAGGTCCAAGACCAGATCCCTCTAGTCAAGATCTTGGGACGTTTTGTCAGTTACTATGCACAGACTTAATCAGCATGTCTCTGCCGATGTGAACTTCTCCTGGAAGTATTGCTTGCAGCACTGTTGCTGAGAAAGCTGATCTCTGCCACACAGTCCTTGTAAAGATGCTGCTTCTCATTTGGGTCTGGAAAACAAAAAATCACTGATGCTTCAGGCCCTATGACTACCTGGCCACTGATGCTTCAGGCCCTATGATTACCTGGCCACTAATGCTTCAGGCCCTATGACTACCTGGCCACTAATGCTTCAGGCCCTATGACTACCTGGCCACTGATGCTTCAGGCCCTATGACTATCTGGCTACTGATGCTTCAGGCCCTATGACTACCTGGCCACTGATGCTTCAGGCCCTATGACTACCTGGCCACTGATGCTTCAGGCCCTATGACTACCTGGCCACTGATGCTTCAGGCCCTATGACTACCTGGCTACTGATGCTTCAGGCCCTATGACTATCTGGCCACTGATGCTTCAGGCCCTATGACTACCTGGCCACTGATGCTTCAGGCCCTATGACTATCTGGCTACTGATGCTTCAGGCCCTATGACTATCTGGCCACTGATGCTTCAGGCCCTATGACTATCTGGCCACTGATGCTTCAGGCCCTATGACTATCTGGCCACTGATGCTTCAGGCCCTATGACTATCTGGCCACTGATGCTTCAGGCCCTATGACTATCTGGCCACTGATGCTTCAGGCCCTATGACTACTTGGCCACTGATGCTTCAGGCCCTATGACTATCTGGCCACTGATGCTTCAGGCCCTATGACTACTTGGCAACTGATGCTTCAGGCCCTATGACTATCTGGCCACTGATGCTTCAGGCCCTATGACTACTTGGCCACTGATGCTTCAGGCCCTATGACTATCTGGCCACTGATGCTTCAGGCCCTATGACTATCTGGCCACTGATGCTTCAGGCCCTATGACTACCTGGCTACTGATGCTTCAGGCCCTATGACTACTTGGCAACTGATGCTTCAGGCCCTGACTACTTGGCAAGTGATGCTTCAGGCCCTATGACTACTTGGCCACTGATGCTTCAGGCCCTATGACTCTGGCCACTGATGCTTCAGGCCCTATGACTATCTGGCCACTGATGCTTCAGGCCCTATGACTACCTGGCCACTGATGCTTCAGGCCCTATGACTACCTGGCCACTGATGCTTCAGGCCCTATGACTACCTGGTCACAAATGCTTCAGGTCTTTTTATTACCTGGCCACTGATGCTTCAGGCCCTATGACTACTTGGCCACTGATGCTTCAGGCCCTATGACTACCTGGCCACTGATGCTTCAGGCCCTATGACTACCTGGCCACTGATGCTTCAGGCCCTATGACTACCTGGCCACTGATGCTTCAGGCCCTATGACTACCTGGCCACTGATGCTTCAGGCCCTATGACTACTTGGCCACTAATGCTTCAGACCCTATGACTACCTGGTCACAAATGCTTCAGGTCTTATGACTACCTGGTTGACTGCAGTAACTGACTTGAACAAGTTTATCTTATCAGCTCTTCACTTGCAGAGTTATAACAATCTAGCCTGTTTGCATACTGTTTAAAGTGTGTTGGAAATACAGTGTTAGGTCTCAGCCTGGGCATGATCTGGCAAACAGCTGAGAAACCCTGACCTAGATGATTTATTTCTGCTGTATTTGCAAATGTGTGTAATCAGTCATTCTGAGAGCTTTGATGTTTTAAGTAGTTACTAGTTCCAGTCAGGCTAAAAGGTGAAGCTTAGCCCTTGAAACATTTTCTAAGGATATAAAATAATAGACTTCAGAAATACTAGGTCAGAGCATATGTCTCCCTGCTAGAAAATTATATATTACAGGCTGACCTAAGTTATATGCTGTCCAAAAACATAGAATCACCTTGTTGATCAAATAGTGCACTAGCTACCAAACCACTGTAGACACACACTCACACACACACATATGTGTCTGTCTGTCTCTGTCTATCTGTCTACTCACTCTCTCTCTCTCTCTCTCTCTCTCTCTCTCTCTCTCTCTCTCTCTCTCTCTCTCTCTCTCTCTCTCTCTCTCTCTCTCTCTGGGAGAGAGTGACAGAGAGAATAAATAAAGTAAATAAATAAATAAAAATAGTAAGTGGTTCATTAACTGGTAGCAGGATAAAACAATCTGAAACAAATCATGTGTAAAGTCCTAGGTGAACAGAGAATAGAAACATAAAGCATATTGACGTCCCAATTCCTTGAAATAGAAAACTCAAATTAAACAAGAAGCCTAATTTTAAAAATATTCAAAGCTGGGCCACTGAGCCTTAAAAACGACATCTTATAACAAAAACAAATCAGCCTAAACGTGAAGCACATATGTCCACTTGGGCAGAGTTCTGAGTACCCTATCTTGAATTTCTTGTTTATATGACTGCAGAACCTGTTCACAGTCTAATATACTGTGGGATACTGTTGCTTTTGTGTGAGAAGGTGGATGTGGTCTTTAGAATTGTATTCTGGCTTTTTATAGTTAACCCCTTCATTACCACACTGTTCTTTTTTTTTGGGGGGGGGGGGGGGGATATTTGAGTGAATTTGGTCCCTTCTCCCTTTTTTCAACAGTTATTCACATATCTTCTTTGAAACAAGCCATTGTTATTCTAAAGCAGGATGATTCAAATACCGGCTCATTGCCAGCTGTATTGTATTCACATATTTCTGTGCTGGGGCTCGGGCACTTGGCCCGGACATTTCCCATTTTCACAGTTGTGGCTCATGTGTAAATGTAGTTGAGTAGTCCAGTTCTAAACTAATGCTGTCTTTGACAGAACCATTTCTTGCATACAGTAGTTTTAAATATAAACACTCCTTAGACACAAGCAGTAATGTGAATACATGCATGAAATTAATGCTCCTATTGCTTGAACCATTGTGTAGCATGCTTATATCAAGATTTGCAATTAGATACACTCTAGAACGTATTCAATTACACAAACGAGGCCATGGAACAGTGTGCTTGGGTTTTTATTTGTGGTAACAATGTTTGTCATGCTTTTTAAATGTCAATGGATAAGTTCAAGCACTCTGCACAAATGCTAAGGCCTCGGAACACTGGTTGAATTTTTTATAATGAAGATTAAGGTTTACAAGTACAAAGTTGCACTCCTGGTCCAACTCATAGCTGCTTCCTCGCTGTCTGGAAATTTAGAAGGATGTATATACCATCTTTGAAATACTTTTAATGTATACAGGGTATACTTATCTTATAGATTTTCTTCTTTATCCCCACAATGGACAGAGGCCCTCAGCGAACTCAGGCCAAGTCCTCCTATCATTTGCTGTCGCATGCAGCTTGCCCTGTGTCCTTGCCATCTTCATCACTTCACTATAGTTTTCTTCTACATGTGATTTGTTTTGTTTTGGTCTGCTCTTATTTCTATGCCTCTGTGGGCACATTTTCATACTACAATACACACATTTGATAATGTTGTAAAAATAACACAGGTCTGTCAGGAATTTTCTAGTGTCTATTTTTTACTGTTTTGACCTGGGATTATGTCACTTTTATGAAAATCCCTACCTTAAAGTGTACATGAACACGTATTTGCTACATTTATACAGAGAAAGAAGTAGAGAGAATATAAGAGAGGCACACAAGGCTTATCTTGGAGAAAAGGGGGACATCTGTCTCCCCTTGTCATGTGCACAAGCATACAGAGATAAACTTTCAAAGAAGTTAAAGCTTCCTATGTGAGATGGTTGTTGACTTCAGTTCCCTAGGGAGCAAAGAGCTAGAAGCAGTCGCAGGAAACATTTGTTTTATCATTCTGGATCTGCTTGTTACAAATGTTTCAGCTGTATACCCTGTAGCATGTTGAAACAGATCTTTAAACTTGACAGTCCTGATGCAGACAGTTGAATTGAAAAAGCATTAGTTCATGAACTGTGATCCTTGCCTGTTATGTGCTCAAAGTTGTGAGGCATTATCTAATCAGTTTACAAATAATCAACTGGGGTAAAACACCTGTGTTGTTTGAATCGATAAAAGATAAGGTAAGATGTCATGGCCGATCTCCATCATCATCATGATGTGCTGTGGCAACATAGGCACTCAGTCTCCACACATCTTGATCCTTGGCATTCATGAATTGGCTCATGACAGATACATCTCTAAAGTGTGTTTAAGTGGTATGACTATCTAAACTTATCTACAGCATTCAGGCTTCTTCTTTAGCAGTTGGCCTGTTGTATTGTAGTTTACAGCTGGGCTGATATGTATCTGATTTCAGCAAACAACTATTTAGTTGCTTTTTATGGCATGCTTGTTAAAGTGCATGTGTCTGTTCTTCTCTCACAACCCCCCCCCCCCTTTCCAGGTGGGATCATAGAACCCACATGAGGCACTGAATCGGTCAGTCAGTGCAGAGTATTCTGAACACTCATGTCTCTTGTCCTAGGTGAACACATGTTTTGATGTTATTTTCGCATATGTATTGCTGTCTACTGTTTGCTTGCTTGCCTTCAACTAGGTCACACATTATAAGATTGTGTTCCAGTTCCGCTTACCACCATCCCTGTGCTATGAAATTTCTAGTACCCACCTTCTACTGCTTCCCCCCCCCCCCCCCCCCCCCCCCCATGAAATTGTGGAGCAGCCGTGAAAAAAAATGACTGTCCTTCCACTGTTTTCAAATCTGGATGCATTTGCCATATTGGCTTTCAGTTGAAGATATAATTTAAAACATGTAACAGTTATACTGAGCAGATATGAAGGCTTAGTGACATTGTTGATTTGAAATGAATCCTTGCAATAATTGTAAACAGATCCTTGTTAAGTGGGATTAGTGAAATCTTGGTTGCTTGTATTATGAATGGGAAAATTATAAGTGATCCATGATCAGGTGTTAAAGAATCAGTTGCATTTATTTAAATACGACTTATAATATAACTTATGGCTGTATTATGTCAATAGCATGATCTGCTAAAAAAATAATTTTTTAAATAGTTGCGGCACCATGTGGTTAATTCATCGAGGGCCATAGTCTACCTAAAGTATGAAGTTTTTTTTCACTATCACGCTGTTTCTTTTTTGACTGACCTCATACCTTGTTGATTTGAAATGGGTTTGGTGAAATGTTGACTGTCTGTCAGAGCTAATGAGCGAGGAAACAATAGATATTAAAACTGTAACCTCTTATGCATGTCATAGAAGAAGACGAAGGAAGATTGGCTTAAAACTGGCTACTCCATTCTTTGTGTGTGCAAACTTGAAAAAGGGTGTTGGGAGGTGTCGTGTCTCTGTCACAAGTGAAGTTGTTTACCTCATGCTTTGAAAGAGGTTTGTTTGTTTTACGTATGCGCCATTCAGTCCACTGTTGCAGTTTTTTTTTATAACTCTTGATTGTCGCTGGAGCTTTGGTGTTTGTGTTTTATGTGATGCTATTGACAGGCTAGTTATTCTGCAAAGAGACAGGTCCATATAGTGCTGTGAAATCAATCCTCACGGTGTTAACGCATAGAACATTTGCTGTAAGATTCAGTCAGTCTTTTACGTGTAATGTCGTTTTAACCACGTGTAGGTAACAGGTGTGCAAGACTGAAGTCAGGGTGCGGAAATCGGACCTTTTTCAGTTCTCTGCTCTGTTAGGGCTAGGGGTTTCTGTCTGTTAAAGTTAAACCCCAAAAAATCTGATTCTATAAATTGCTTGGGTAAGTGGTGTTCCCTTTTCCATCCAGAAAACCAGCAATGGTATAGATGCAGTTATAGTGTTAGTTTGTTGCTAACATTGTTGATCAGGCAAATTAGAATACATAAAAGTTGTGGTATTGTTTATGCAGCCAGCATATGAGGGGATGTTTAAACAAGTTTAGAAGTTTTTTTGTTAGGACACATTATCTGATAACAAGCCATTTGAGTCTGTAGACCTCTGTAAACAAACATACCTGTGTTACCATCCGTTTTCATTAAGTGTTGTTTCAACAATTTAAGTATCTGGCAATATCAGTTAATACATTCATTAACAGACATTGCAATTGTTTTAAAATGTTTAGATTAACCTTACGAATCTCCAGCTGTTTACATATCTGTTTTCTTTTTACTGAGCACATTGTTTAGACATGTCAGGAGTAGGGTTAAACTGGAACATGTGATGACAGTATCTTCTTCTTTGCATTCACTGGCTGCAAACTCTGATGGAAAGTTCTGGATGTTTGTCCACTTCTGAACTGGTTTTGTTTTGAAAGCACATTTCTCTACAGATTTGACTTATTTGTATGCAGCTGTTAGTTCCTTGCCTGTGAGGCAGATGAACTCTTTATTTCGAAGAAAACACCCTTAATTAGTTGTCATTTACAAAATGCTTGTTTGGGGGGGGGGGGGGGTCAGTGGCTCTTCTGTTCTTTTCTCCGCAAAATGGAGCACTGGAGCCCACACAGGAAGAGAGACAAGAGGACCTGGATGGAGAGAAAATGCTAGATAGCTTGACAAGGCATGGAGCTGCATGTGAATATCAAATTATGGGCAGTAAGTGCAGACAGAGCGCTGTGAATCAATCAGCTACTTTCAGCATGGAGTCTTAAAACTAAAAAAAACTATTAAAAAAAAAAAACTTTGCATCTTTCATTTGTTGTCTCAGTTTGATAGCTGGTTATTTTTTTTAAAAGACAAAAGATCACTTTCGAACGGAGATAATGAACTAAGGAGATTTACATTTGCAATTTAGTGGTTCCCAGCCTGTGGGTATATCATGCCCCTCTTTTTTGTGCTGCAGTTTTTTTTTTCAGGGTCACAATAGTTGCTTTTATTTGCAGTTAGTAAAAACTGGTTATTTCAAACGATTTAAATATTTCACTATTAATTTAAACTGCTGGAGATGTTAGTCCTATTAGCCAGCCATACATTTTTCTAGACCAGTTCACACTTAAGGGATGATGTATCCATCATCACCCTAGCACCTTTATTTCCTGGAACACATCCTTATACCATTTTTAAGATGGTCATCTGGGAATATTGGGTCAGAAAATGGGTAAATAATAATAGAAGAAAAAAAATGGCATTGGCGATTCCAGTGATGAATTCTTAAATGGTGAATGACTCAGTTGCCTGTCCTTGGCAACACAAATATCATACTGGTCACACATGCACGCGCACAAGTTCGCGCGTGTGTGTGTGCGTGTCAGCCACGATAGTAACTGTAGGACTTGGTGTGTTTAAGAGGAAATCTTATGAGCAGTCAGGACTTATGACTAAAAATTAAAAAAATGTTTTCTTCAATAGGGTTTTAATGACACCTTTGATGGTCTAGAGGGAGCCACTGGAGGCTCAGACTTTGGACACAGCTATGGGGACACCAACGACCAGTTCACAAAAGTATCCCGCCTGTCCGAGTCCTCCAGCGATTCTGGGTTTGCTTACCAAGGAGGCTTTACGTCACCCTCGTCGTCAGCCTCCTCCTCCTATGCTGGAAGCCCTTCAGGCTCTCACAGTGGTCTCAACAGCTCAGCTTCTAGTAACGACACTGAACACGATCCGCATGGCACTCGTTCTGTGGTCAATCATCACGTGGCTCACAACCACACATACAACACCCTGCCAGGACAAACACCAAGAGAGGTTTGTTCTATTTGCTGTGTTATTGTGTATAATAAACATGTAGCTGCATTTTTCTCTCTTCAAAAATGACCTTTTCTCCCAGCTCGACCCAGTCTTAAATAGGTATCAGGTAGTGTCCTAGGTAGTAAAGATGGCAGGCGTGATGTTGACCTTATCACCCACGGAATGCCGATTGGTCTGTAAAATATAGGTCTAGCCCTATGCCCGATACATTTGAAGGCGTGGAAAAGGGCCCTTTTACTTAGTGAAACAGATATATTTGTTGAAATAGCTTACATTGTTTTGTGCATGGTAAAAATTGATCATAAAGCGTGATACAAATATGGTAAAGACTTTAATACAAAAATTTATAAATGAACTAGCTGTACCCGGCCACGCGTTGCTGTGGCATAGTTTGGCTGAATTGAAAAGAAAGAAAATAGAAATCTTGCTTCGTACATCGAAGTATTCGGAAAAAATTACCCAAGTGAAAAGCTATGAAAACAGGAAAAATACACAATAATTACGAAATGATTGCTATGGTAAACTGTACCAAGCGCGCGTTGCTACGCCTCTAATAGAAATTCAATTGAAAGGAAAGTCGATATAACAATATGTAGTATTTATTTTGGATCATTGTGCTGTTTACAAATCCTTAGGAAAAAACAGGCAATTTAAAATGTAATTGTTCTTAGTTTTTCCGCCTGATGCGTACACGAATAAATCAGTAGGTTTTCCGACGCTTGAACAAGCCACATATGGCAGTCCATGTGAAAAGCATGGATGTTCCAAATGTAGTCCACACAATTGTTCTGACTGTCCCTGTGATTTGTTGATGGTCATTGCTAAGGTGAGTCGCACCAGAAACTGCAAGCATCTGAAGTTGAATGGCATGTCTGTTGGAATTGCGTTGCAATAGTATATCCTGGCCCTTAAATGTTCATGTAAAATTGTACTTATGATGATATTGGGCACCATCTTTTTCACTGAAAGCCTGGTACCACTGCAAAGATGTGGCGGATTGATGTTTCTGAGAAGAATAACAGGCACGCCAACTTTCAAGGTTAAAACATGGGGTGGCATGCCTGGCAAATAAAGCGAATTAAAGAACTCAGTTGGATAATTGACAACCTCGTAGCTACCAACTTTTGCTACCAACATTAACGCTTTTTCCTAGCTGTACCCGGCCACACGTTGCTGTGGCGTAATTTGGCAACATGGAAAATAGAGACTTTCAAGCTTAAAACATGGGGTGGCATGCCTGGCAAATAAAGCGAATTAAAGAACTCAGTTGGATAATTGACAACCTCGTAGCTACCAACTTCTGCTACCAACATTAACGCATTTTCCTAGCTGTACCCGGCCACGCGTTGCTGTGGCGTAATTTGGCTACATGGAAAATAGAGAACATAGAAATGTGTCTTCGCTTCACGCTAGCGATGTACAGTGCAACAGCTAAACCACAGCTAATAAAACTTTGTGTGGGTAAGGCAGTTACTGTAACTTAAATCTATCTCAGTAAACAGTTTATTGTAACCACCCATCCCCCAGTTCACATACTACTTTCTCCTTCATCGAAGCAGTTGGAAAAATTACCCTAGTGAAAAGCAATGAAAAGAGGAAAAATACACCATAATTACGAAATGAGCACATTTGCTAATTGCTGTAAACAACCCTGCACGCGTTGCTACAATAGAAAGTGAATTGAAAGGAAAATCACTTTAACAAAATGTAATGATATTGGATCATTGTGCCGGTAATTTAACATTAAAAATGTGTTTACTGAAGTGCTTTTGGATAAACAATGTTCTTTGTTCTTCGTCTGGTGCGTACACAAATAAATTAGAAGGTTTTCCGATGCGTGAACAGGCCACATATTTCTGCCCATGTGGTTATTTGGTTATCACATGCTAAAGCTGTTTGTATTTTTATAGGAGACGGAAGTAAAGCTACAACTGTACTTGTAAATAACAAAGTAAGTCGTAAAAAAATAGAAAAGCGGAGGTAGCGTTAGTAAAATATAAACAAATTAGGTAATGAGAACTTGAAAATCACGTGTAAAGCTCTTTAAGTTCTCTTAAATTTAAGTCATTACCCCCCTCCCCTCCCCTCTTCCACCGACTACTGCTCTCTCCCTCTTCGAAGGATTTGAAAATCACTGACGATATTTTGTTGTTGCTGTAACTGACATTGACATCCCTGTCCATCTGGACTAAAATAAGGAGCAGGAATTGTAAAAGGTAGTGAATAGGGCAAGTGAAATATTTACCACATCATCCTTCAAGTATCAGTACAACCACTAAAATAATGTCACTGCTATCTGTGTTACCATCGGAGTAGACAGAGAGTCGTGAGCCAGAAGATTTGGTTCCGCATGGCTAGTGCTGTCGCCACAGACTGGTCAGGTTAGGATGTATAATTTCACTTGCCGACAGAAGAACGCCATAACCTTACCGGCGGTCTTCACATGAGAGCACTATGGTGTAACAGCCCAACCACAACTATTACTGCTGCTGCTACTTTTAAGTGGGTAAAGCAGTTACTGTGACTTAAAGCTCTCTCAGTTAATAGTTTGCCCCCCCCCCCCCCCCCCTCTCCCCCCAAATTCACCGACAACTCTTTCCCACATTGAAGTAGTTGGGAGAAAAAACAACACTTGAATAGCAAATGAACACAGGAAAAAAACACCATAATTAGGAAATAAACGCCATTGTAAACAGCACAGCTTAAAATTCCAACACCGATGAAATAACTAAATCTAAATGAAAATAAATGAAAATCTATAAAATTTCAGCGTAACCATGCAATCGGAAAGTTTAACAATGCAATTATAAGTATGCGAAATGGTCAAATTTAATTATCAAATGGTTTACCCATTTACTTTTTTTTTTTTTTTTTAATAATATTAAGGCAACATGGCTAGTGCTGTCACCACGACAGAGCAGATGAGGATATTATTTTAGTCCGGGGTAAAAAAAATTTTAACTACTGCGGATTCGAACCCAGGTCTACCGCACTTGAACCCAGTGTTCTAACCATTCGACCAAGCAGCCACTTAATCGGAACAACGAAAAGAGAACACAACTATTAGACATATGTGTCCCTACCACTGTGTCGCGATTAAAACACAATTCAAAACCGCAGACAATTGTTTTCTCGTAGACAGATACTCCAGATATATTAATGAAATAGAAATCGCACGTGTCTAACACGGTTAATGAAGTTAATGTCGCAGTCACTGTCTGCGCCGACGTCGAGATAGTCCTCGATTGCCCCCCCCCCCCCCCCCCCCCCCCCATCGAAGGTTGTTTGAAAAAAAAACCAGAAAATAGAAATCGTGTTTAATATGGTTATTGTGGCAAATATAGAGATAGTTTTGTTTGCTGTACCACGACCTACTCTATGTATTAGTATTAGAGAAGGCGTTGGCTGCACGTAGCTCGCCGACGAATGGTAAATACGGCGCATGCGCAATTACTAACGTGGCTATAATTAGAAATCACTAAAGTTATAAATATTAGTTGCGTATATTTTGGCATAAATTGTGGTCACCTATCTCTAACAGTGACAGGTTGAATTTCAAACCACGACGGTTCAAAATCCGTTATCACAACAAACATATCCTGAAAATTTCAGCTAAATCGGTTCAGTAGTTTCCGAGTCTATAGAGACCAAACAAACACACAAACATTGATTTTTAAAAATAAAGATACTCTATTATTCACTATTGTGCAAACCTTTGTAGTTGTTTGTAGTATAGTGTACGTGCTAGCCACTGAGCTACCATAACTGTATGGTGTAGTAGATCAGATGCCTAGCCTCGTCAGTTATGGAAGAAAGACTGAGAAGTCTCTTGTGCATGTTGTGCACATTTCAGATCCCCCTTCTTCTAAAGATGAAAAATAGAGGGCTAAATACATTCTGCCCAGTCTAAAGTTTGAAAACAAAAGAGATCTCCCTAGAAAAGAATGTTAATAGGATGTGTGAATCTGGTGGGCAGCCATATTTGTGCTTTGCTGTGGCTACAGGGTTTACACGTGGTGATGAGATCTGCTTGTATGATCCGTTTTAGGAGACTGGGATACCTATAGGGACAGTGGTGGGGAGGTATCCTTGTGTGATTAATATGAGGAGACTTGGGTACTTATAGAGACAGTGGTGGGGAGGTCTCCTTGTGTGATCAATATGAGGAGACTTTGGTACCTATAGAGACAGTGGTGGGGAGGTCTCCTTGTGTGATCAATATGAGGAGACTGGAGCACCTATAGAGACAACACTGATGGAATCTTGTGTGATTATTTTGAGAACTGGGACACCTATAGAGATGTCTGGGCACATTAACTATGATCTTTTACAAAACCAAACTGTACACTTAGGACTACCCATGGGATCATCAAACAAAGTTAGTGTACTCCTTCTGGAAGGGTAGAGTCCAAATTTGTTTCAGTATATTATAGTGCAAATATATATATATATATATAGTTTTTGGTACTTTCAACATTGATCTTTATTATGTTCCTAATAATGTACATAATAATAAATAAACAATAATAAATAGTGTCAAGAAATTTCATTTTTCAATTATTTATTCTGACATCTAGGTAAAGAAATATGCACAAAAAATACCATCCCGCAAAGGCCCCCAGAGCCGCGACCAGCGGCGAGCTGAAGAACTCAAAATTCCATTTACTGTTGATGATATTGTGGACTCTTCGGTGGAAGCTTTCAATGAGATGCTTACAGCACACAAGCTGAACGAGGCCCAGGTATGACTGTTGAATCTTTTTAATGTTTTCAATTTGGTTTTTTGTTTTGTTTGAAACAATTTCTGGTCTTTCCATTGAACACATTTATATTCTTACTGTTCATACAGCTAACTCGTTGCATTGCGAGGCTTGTGCAGTTGCCGACTGTTTGCTGCTCCTTTAGATAACAATTGTTTTTAACAGACCCCCCCCCCCCTAATTCAGGTGAGACCAACTTCTTAAAGAATAGATGCCAGAAAATTGTCTGGTAAGGGAAAAGTAGGTCGTTTGAGAATGACCATGTTACTTAATAAAGTTTCGATTTGTCAAAAAATGATGGTCTTAACACTGGATGTCTAATTTGCTGTGGGGCATAAAATGAAAATGATGCTGGGCAGTTTGAGGTCCTGGATTATCATCTGTGTCAGAAATTATTGACAGCACACGAAACAGAATTCTGTAGTGTGGGCTATAAGAAAAACTGGATTAGAAAAGCAGCAACATAAGATCAAAGTGCAAAAGTTTTTTTTTTTTAAATATGGACTAGCTTACAAAAGCAGCAAAATAGGATCAGAGTACAAAACCTGTTTAGATTTAAAGAAAAAAAAAACTAGGTTTTCATATGTAGAATTAATGGAAAGTTGCATCATCAACAGATGCGTTAAGTGCCATTAAGTGTAGTCTGTCACGTTTCACTATCTCAAACGATCATGGATCAGGTCTGTGTTCTTATCCTGCCTCATTCATATTGCTGAGATAATATTTTGTCTATTTGCCTTCCTCTTGCTCTGTTTTAATCAGTCTTGCCAGTTGTTACCAACTAACATGTCTGTAGACAAAGTAAGCTGCCACAATATTCTGTGCATACTTCTCATAAACCACACATCCACTGTGAGTTGCTACAATATTCTTTTCATACTTCTCATAAACCACACATCCACTCTGAGTTGCTACAATATTCTGTGCATACTTCTCATAAACCACACATCCACTGTGAGTTGCCACAATATTCTTTGCATACTTCTCATAAACCGCACATCCACTCAGAGTTGCCACAATATTCTTTTCATACTTCTCATAAATTGCACATCCACTTTGAGTTGCTACAATATTCTGTGCATACTTCTCATAAACCAGACATCCACTGTGAGTTGATGTTTTTCACCTGGTCTGCTTATTGTCCCTGTCTCACAATAACATACTTATGGTAACACATGTTCTGTAAAGCACTTTAACATCTTTTTTTTCAATGCGGAGGACATCTTCTAACTGATGAGTATATTCTGTATCAAGCAAGTTGCAACCGTGAGATAAAACAGGTTTTCTTGTATGGAATGAGTTTAAAAAAAGAAAATAGCAACTATATAGTGTTTCAGAATGAATTGCTTGGGAAATTACAAAGCTAGTTATAGTAGTTCTTCAGTGTGAATTCTTTGTTAATTCTACTAGTAATTATCAGTAATCTCACTACCATGAACAAACTTATTAAAACTTATATTGTTTTATCACCTTGCAGCTGACATTGATCAGGGACATCCGAAGGCGTGGTAAAAATAAAGTTGCCGCCCAGAACTGCAGAAAACGCAAGGTCAGCATAATTTACAACCTATCAGATGAGACAACAGAACTGCAAAAGATGAGGGACAGGCTCCTGGCGGAGCGTGCAGCCATGGATCGCGAACGGAGCAAGCTAAAAGAAAAGTGCAGTCACCTGTACTCACACATTTTCCAGTCACTTCGAGATGAACGTGGTGCACCTTATGACCCCAATTTTTATTCGCTCCAGCAGTCCAGCGACGGCAGTGTGTTTCTGGTTCCTCGGAACCTCACAGGAATCAACAGCAAAAATGGCACATCATCGGCAGCAGCAAAGAATATTGCCACTCCCAAGAAGCGAAAGTTCTTGGATGAATAAAGTCAGGACTGTCAGACACTTGTAAAGTGAGCTATCAGTGTTATCTGCAGCAACAGAGGTTACTACAATTAACAGTTAAGCTTCTCAGGTTGGCTCTTTCTGTCCCATACTATGTGCCATTGTGATCAGCTATTGCCCCTGTGTAGTGAACAACACACAGTGGATTGTTTAAGTTACATTTGGTCTGCAAACTTGAGAAATCTGGCTAGTTATTTCAAGCTCAGCGTAAGTTGCCTCTTTGAAGGTAATCCACTCATGCTTTATTGAATGCGCTTATTGTCCCTCTTGTTCAGCTGTTGAGAAGTATTATGGGATTGAAAGAGTTGAGAATCACAGGAGCTCGTGTGTAATGTTTATACAATTGAAGCTAATCGACAGCTGCTTGAGTCTGTTTTGACCTGACGAGCTTAACTTGAATTAGTTTAGCTGTTTTACAGAAAATTGTAGGCTTTCTAATGGTTACCGTTTCACAGATAATTGTGTGATTTCTGTTGACTGCCAGTTTACAAAGCATGTGATTTGCAGAAAATTGTGATTTATATTAGTTTTCCAGAAGTTGAAGGATTTCTGTTGGTCACTGTTTCACTGTAAATTATGATTGACATTTTACAGAATGCTCCATGATTTAAGTTGAAACCATTTTACATAAAAATGAAATTGTTTCCCATAAAATAATGCAGCAAAACCATTTCACATAAAATTGTGTAATGAAACCGTTTCACATAGAATTATATGGTTTGATTGGGTTACCATTTTAAATAAAATTAATGATAAGCAGCTGAAATCACATTAACCTTTTTAAATTTGCTACCAAAAGGATGTGTGCAAAGAAATGTTTGAAAAAGGAAACCAAAACTATGTTTTAGTTTACATACAACTGTGGCTTATGATGTAACTTTATAGATTCATTTAAAACAAAAAAGAAGAATATTGCAACTAAACAGAAAATTGTTTGCTTTGTAGTAATGCATCTTTCTGTATTATCTCACTGGATTTGATTCCAATTTGATTCGCGGCAGCATCACTGTTGACGTTTTTGGGTTGCTTGTAAATAATGTTCTCAATTTCTGTTAGTTTGCTGTTATATTGACTGCGTTTAGGTGGGGATGGGGATCTATTTAATTTGTGTGTGTGTGTGAGAGAGGGCAGTTTGTATAGAAGTAACTACAAAAATATATACCAAGATTTTTGTTTGGATGTAGTGATTCTCCCATGTGTGATTTTGTTGTTGCGGATTTTTATCATTAGAGTGTAATAACTAGTTTGCTGAATATACTAAAACAGATCTTTGCTTGAGTGCCAACCATGCACATGCATGCATACACCAACCTATGTATACGTTAATTAACTGCATCAACACATACGTACGTCTGTACATGAACATATACATTACATTGCACACATACAATGGGTTTAACAAAAAATCTGTAAAACTTTAATTGTGCGTGTTAACATAATATACAACTACCAGTCATGGAAGTTTTGACTGTAGGTTAAGGGCAGTGTTTATGCATCTTCTGAAACAAACATTCCTTGACAGGTGTTGGTATAGTTTCTGGGAATGCGTTTTGTTTTACGGAAAGATGGAAAGGATATGTTGTCTACGATTTCACAACTGACAGCAGTTATTTACTGTGCAGCCAAAAAGCTGGCATTACTGCCAGTATTTACTGGTTTTACGTTTCGGAGGATTTTGAACATGAGGATTTTAAGGCTGCATAGCTAGTGCTGTCGCCACTGACTGCAGGATAGCATTTTATGTTTTCCCCGAGAAAAAAACATGCCCAGCCTTACCGAGGGTTTGAACCTGGATCTTCCACTTCAGTGCCCAGTATCACCAGATACCTGCTTGCGTGCCAGTCATCTACCATAGATCATGCAGAGACAAATTACACAATGCACCAGCTCTTTAGCACCATAATTAAGACATGCTATAAGTAATATTTTGTGGGTAGTTTTTCTAATGTTTGATTGAGCCTTTGATTATGGGAACCATCTACCTTTTCCCAGCTAACAGTGTAATAATCCTCGTCTCTGCACAATGTAACTGAGAATTGATTAGTTCCATGCATTTGCTTTTATGTTGGTTTATAATAATGTGTAAATTGTGACTAGAGCTGTGGTGGTATAGTAGCAGGTGCCGTCACCTACTAACACACACGCCTGGAGTTTGAACTCTGGTAGTGGTGAGTGTTTCCTGAACATGATGATATTGACCCAGCCAATTGGCAGAGTGTATTGGGCTCAAGTAATATAGTTCTTTTGGTCACAGGAATGATATGCTGTTAGGTCAGTAAGAATATCCCCAGTATGACGTAATGAAATACAGTAGTACTACTTGCCTATATTGCCCCATATAAATCTTAACATATGACACCCGCCCCTTCCCCTCTTTATCCTTCAAATTTAAACCACATCCTTAAAATTTGTAGACATTTTACCCTAAAAAAAAACTAGAGGAGGATCAGAAGAAACAGAAGAAAGTTTGAGTCTTGGGTTTTTTATAATTATCCGTCTGTCCTGGCTGTTTTAAAATAATCTCCAGTGATCATTTTGGACTGGTTTGGCCCTAGGTCACTACTGGTCAGGGGGAGAATTCAGCCAACACTGGTGATTGATTCCTGGGACACTGAGGGGGTGGACGGTCCAGTATTCTAACTACATAATCACCATAGCTCATATACCGGACAGTGTCAAATGCTAGTTACAAGAAGTAATCTCAACTTGACCTAATAGAACAGTCTTTCAGTCATCGTATGTTAATCATTTAGTTATTGCTGTAATGTTAGCAAAGTTCAGTGTCGTCTGTGTATTTAATAGCGCACACTGTTTCTTGTTGTTATAAAACCATAACATTGATTGTATCATTTCATGTGCAAGGAAGTGATCTTTGATGAGATTTGAATACATTATAGAAATAATGTATACAGAGGCAGCAAGAAAACAGTTTCTGGGGAAATAAAATGATTTGTTTAAAAGAGGTTATTGTTTCAATGAGTCCCATTGTGTGGCTTTTTCTGTTTGATTTCCATATTTGATTGTGGTTATACATATTGTATCATTATTATACTGTATTGTATTTAAATGAGGCATTGTTTTCTTTTAACAGATTGCATATTTTATTTCTTTGCATTTTAAAATTCTGTTTATATTTGAGTTTTATTATGAAACTTGTATCTGTTTTAAGATCATACTTTTCCTATCAATCTTAAATTATCTGAAAGTTATTGATTTGATTAGAGAACTGGTAGAACAAGCAGTATTATACTGCTTGTCTCTCTTTGCATCCTAATGTTTCCTTGGCTTCATGGTTGAAGAGTTAAGGCTGAAGTATCATTTCTTTAAAATCTCATTTAAAACATTTGTGATATCTAGAGAAACCCCAGACTTTCACATAAGAAACCAAAGATACTGGACTCGACTCCGTCTATGAAATTGAAGTGATTGCCAAGATAAACGGAATGGAGAAATAGATTATGAGCTCTATGGGACATATAACAGCACAACAGGAGAGTTAATCAATAAATGATGTCTAGTAAAAACTGTCAACAGTAAATTATGCCTTCCTTGAAGGCACCGTATGCATAAATAGGCACAAGAGACAAGCACAGTTTCCTCAACAGCGTGTTTGTTGTCATATACAGAGCATGGGAGGTGCTGTGACACAGTGGCTAGATACTTGCCTGCTGGTCCAAAGGTCTTGGGACCAAATCCCCATCGAGTCACATTTGTTTAAAAATGACTTTGGCCTAGGTTGACTTAGCCTAAAACGCATACCAGGTCAAGCCCTGGGCAGTACAGATTGCCAGCTTGGTGTTGACCACATCCCTTGTTGCATGCCAGTTGGTCTGTAAAATGTGTGTCTGGCATCATACGCCCGATACACCACTGACTTGAGACGGGTCCTCTGCTTGTGTCCCCCCCAACCCCCTTTTTTGGGTGTAGAGCCTAGACAACTTTATATTTCTTAGAGACACAGGTAAAGTTGTTTAGGATTATTTCTATGTTTAAGACAATTATAAAAAAATGTAAATCCAGCATTGTTCTTCTTAGCAATGGCAATGTATGCTTTTTGTTTTGTATTCAGATTATTTTTATCATGCATGTTTTACTGTTTAAATATTTTATATATTTGTAACCAAAATCAGTTGATTGACATTTATTTAGTTGTAGTGAAGACTCTCAATCTCCTTAGTGTTGGAAATCATGGGGTAATTGAGCATTGCTGAGTTTATTGTGGTTATGTTATCACTGTTGATGTCACTGCACACTGGGCATTCCCATGCATACTGAGTCCTCCAATCTGCAGACCTGCATCTGGTACCTGTACTGTTTGTTTCTGTGAGTAGTTACCATGTCTCCTATCTTGACCTTGAAGACAGCATAGGCATGCTTCACCAGATTTCATTCACAGATCATGAAATCATGTTAGCATGTCTGATCCATATAGCGTTGATAATGGTGTAGCACTTATGAAGGTGATTCTTTGTGATGAGTGGTTCAGATCTGTCTGAGGGATATCTGTTGTGAAGATGTCAAGTCATTTGTCAAGCCTGCTGAAGGTCATGGGTTTCTTTCTGTAGTGCATCTTCACTTCACATGTGAATTTTCTGGGGATCCTTAGGGCAGGGCTATTCAACTGGCGGCCCGCGGGCCAGATTTGGCCTACAGAGGCCTAGCAAGTGGCCCGCGAATCATTACCATTTGTATTGTATTAGTGATATTTCTATGCTGGAGCTCGGGCTTCTGGCCCCTGACTGTCCCTTTTTTCAAAATTCTGGCCCCTGCGTAAACTTAGTTGAACAGCCCTGCTTTAGGGTGTCCAGTGAATTATTCTTCTTTGTGCTCAACAGCTCTAAACTCCCATGGACAATTCTGGCTTTTTATTTACTTCTGGACTTTTCAAGTCTTATTCCAGAACTTTAGTTTTTGCGTGCACATCCCTATTACAGATCTGGCTTATTTGTACGCAGAATATCAGTCCCTAACTTCTTGGGCGG